TAACAGAATCACGCTGCTAACAACACCACACTGCTAACAGGACCACAATGCTAACAGAACCACCCTGCTGACAGAGCCATGCTGCTAACAGAACCACAATGTTAACATGATCAGACTGCTAATAGTACCATGCAGCTAACAGAACCACGCTGCTAACAGGACCACGCTGCCAACAGGACCACGCTGCCAACAGGACCACACTGTTGACAGGACCAGACTGCTAACGGTACCATGCAGCTAACAGAACCATGCTGCTAACAGAACCTCACTACTAACAGAACCTCACTGCTAACAGAACCACGCTGCTAACAGGACCACACTGCTAACAGAACCTCACTGCTAACAAAACCACGCTGTTAAAAGAACCAAGCTACTAACAGAACCAAGCTGCTAACAGAACCCTGCTGCTAACAGAACCTCACTGCTAACAGGAACACTCTGCTAATTGATCCTTTATGCTAACAGCACCAAACTTCTAACAGAACCAAACTTCTAACAGAACCACGCTGCTAATAGGACCATGCTGCCAACAGTAGCAGTGTTTTAATAACACTATTTTTTATTTTAATTGCTTTTAATTGCTTTATATTGTTGTCTGTATGTTCTGTCTAAAGTATGTTTGTCATGAAAATGAGTCCTTGTGTCTCAGTGAGACGAACTTGTATAAAGGTTTAAAAAAGAAAAAAAGAAAAATAATATATAAAATTCTGTTTAACCCTAAAAGAGTATTAGCAGATGTATTGTTTAGGAATGATTTGTAGGTTCAAAATAGTGTAATACAGTAATTATTAGGACATCATGTTAAATATGTAGATATTTTTAGTCTTATTTTTTTATTGACCACAGAAACTATTAGTAAATATATTAATGAGGTGATTATACTTGTTGACAAAACTCATTACCAGTAGTTACAGATATAAAAATAGTTAAAAAATAGCTTTTTATCAGTGAGGGAAAAAGGCAGTTTCTTGCACCATAAACAAATTATTGATAACAGTCCCCCCCATACCTCACAGAAACTTTTAACTCAGTTTTAATTTGTCCTTTTGTTTTATTTGCACTTTTCCTTGAAAAGCTGTTTAATTGTTGTTATATTCATATGTGTAAAGAATTAAATGAGCTGAGCATGTTTGTGTCAACCATCTGATCTCACCATCAGGTCCAGCAGCTCGGGCCGGGTGTCTCGACGCTGCCGTCTGGAGCGCGCGCGCGGCGAAGTGGAAGGTGGGTCCAAGAACAGTTTGTCATCCTGAAGTGTGTTGACCAGACACTGAACGTCACCGACAAACGCTTGAGCCTCTCTGGCAGTCATTGCTCTGGAGAAACCTCGACCCTGCGGGGAGAATGACTGAAATGCTTAACGTGGCATAACTGAGCAGCGCAGGGAAAAAGAATTAATCACCAGTAATTACATGCATCATATAATGGAAGACTAAGAGCATTATTCTAAGAGTTTTAATTAAAAATGGGTGGAAAAGTAAACTCTTTACAGTCCGCTGTTTTCTTAGTCGAAAGTAATTAAAAGTAATTTAAAATATTTAAATTATAGACATTATAATATATATTTAGTTTTCTTACAAAAAACATTTAATTAGGGGGATTAAATTATTAAAACCAAACAAAATGAAACTGTTAACTATTATTTCTCATAGTTGCATCTGAATTATTTTCTAAGATGGCTGCGCTCAGCCGAGTGGCAGCTTCATAGGCTCCTGGTGAACTTGATCTTTTTGTGTTCCTGTTGCTTTTTTTTTTTTCACCTACAAAGTACATCCACGGTATGGGTATGACCGCGACACACTTGTGGAGTTTTCTGTGTCGCTGCCTTGCCATCCTGCCATCGTGGTTCAGTCCTTCCAGCCTCGGGCTCAAGCCTGCCATGGCGGCTGTCTCCATGATCCTCTATCTGCCTGCACGGACCAAACTCGTTTGGTTCAGCGGGGAAACCTGGATGTTCTCCGTCTGCCAGACCCAGTTCTGGAGGGCAGTCTGGGAGGCAGCTGCTGCGGTCCTTATTATCATCATGCTGCTGACGGGACTTGCTAATGCTGCTAACAACACCACAGTGCTAACCAAACCTCACTAACAGTATCATGGTGCTAACTGGACCATGTTGCTAAAATAACCTCTGTCATCAGAACCACTCTGCCAATAGGACCATGCTGCTGTAGCTTTATTTCTTTTTCACTTTTGGTGCCTTGTTTCTGTATTTTTGTTGCATTTTGAACAAATCCCTGTTTATGTTAGTTTAGTTTATGCTAGTTTAGTTTATGTTAGTTCAGTTTATGTTAGTGCTCACATTAAGTGTGTAAATTATAGCTGAACAGAACCTATGAGAATCGTGTTGCTGTTGTTCGGTGTATTGTTCTGTACCATTAGTGACTGGCATATATCTTAGCTCTTTTAGCGTACTGTTTGGCGTTCGTTTAGCATATATCTTAGTTTATATCTTAGATCCTTATTTACTATTTCTTTTTTACAATTTACATTTTTGTCATTGTTGGATGTAACTGGGACCCTGTGTACACAGTTTAGTTCCACCTCATGTACCACATGTGATGTAAATGACAATAAATAACCTTGAATCCTTAAGTCCTTTAATATTATAAAAAGCATAACTTTTATCTTTTAATATATCAAAATATATTTATTAAGTATACTGAATATCATTTGAATATTTTCTAAATAAGCCAGTCTGACTAAGAAAACAAATTCATTTTTATTTGCATAACCTTTCCTATGCAATAAAACTTAAACATGATATAAGCAGCTAAATAATGTAAATGCAGTATCTTTCCATTTTCATTCTCATGTCACACAGTAAAGCAGTTTGTCTTAAAGCTTTTCAACAAAATAATTTTCTGACTAAACAGTGTGTTTGAATTTATCCGCAGCGGTTTGTGGGCTCCGTACTCACAGTTACGCTGATGATGCTGGTCTCAGTGAAGACGGTCTTGGTCAGTTCGTTGAAGCTGGGGTCAGGGTGGTAATCGAAAGGCTTGAGCTCCTTTCTCCAGTTGTCCAGCAGGATAAAGGTGCTGACATGCTGGCTCACAGAGACATTTATTGTTGGAGAATTAAACTGGATGACTGTGTCGCTCTTCGCATGGGCGTACTGACGAGGACCAGGGTCATATTCAGGAGGAACAAAGAAGAAACAAAAAGAAAAATATTCAGTTAAAACAAGACAAAGGACAAAAACAACATGTTAACCATGAAAGTGTTGAACAGGATGTGTGTCATGAAAAATACTTGATTTGGTTTAATTATGATATAAAATGGTAAAAAAATATGCATGAATAAGAATAAATAAGTGGTTCCCAATGTTGGGCACCAAATGTGGGGGCTTGAGAAGGTTGACAGAAAACAAATGAACTTAAAATAAACATAACATTTTTAATTCTAAATGTCACAAAGCGATAAACAAAAAAATAAAACTGGATAAAATAATGTTTGTCGAGGTGATGAGTAAAATAGATAATTATCAAGGTTCAAGCAGCAACGATCCAAGTCTCAGGTCTCTAGTTTTTATATTGCAGATGAAAAGCTAAACAGCTGCTGCATGAAATAAATCAAAGAAACTTTGATCGTCCACAGAGAAAGGCTGCTGACTCTGATGAGTCACAAACCACAGTGTCAGCCTTCTGATGGCTCTTTTTAAATTGAAACCTAGTTCACGTTGCATTCTGTCACTTACGGGTTGTTTTCATGATAGGCCGATGTGTTTGAAAGATAAACCCTCGTCAGTGTTTTAACAGGATAAGACAGTTGTGGGGTGTACAGAGAAAAGTTACAGAAGATATTGACTTAAAGTAGTTTAACCCCCAAATAAAAAGGTTCTCTACTTTATGTGCAGTAAACTAAATACAACATAAAACAACAGCTTTAAGAGTATTTATTGTGTTTTAATCTCATGAGTAAAGAATGATGTACAGGAAAGTCAGTCTAATAATCCTCTCATAAAACTTGTTTGTAAATTAAATGTTTTATTTTCTCCAAAATGCAGGCCATGTCTTTTACAGGAAACACTGTCAAATAAACATTTTATTATTATTATTTTATAATATGTGTTTTTTTGTATTCAATGTTCTAGTCTGGTTTGTTGGTTCTGACAGACTTCACATCAAATGCCTCAATTTTTCAGACTCAAATTTTCAAACAAGTCTGCTGATATTTATTAGGGATGCACCGATCCACTTTTTTTTTTTTACTTCCGATCCGATCCTGATACCTAAGTGAGTATCGGCTGATACCGATCCAGTTCCGATATCATCATCTTCATCATATGAGGCTGTAATAATCTCCTCTCAAGTACAATTTGTACAAATATTTGCATGCATGTCCAAAAAGGCAACTTGAGGTAAGTTTTATTAATGTTGGAAAAGTTTTAAAGTTAGAATTAAATCCTGCTAACACAAAACATGTTTTTTTTTAATTCCTAGTTTTAAAGTGGATATTAAAGTGATTAATTTAAGTGATTGTTTAAAGTTGTTTTATATTTTACAAGGGGCAGATATAATATTTTTTTCTTCTTTCTGCACTCTTTTCATACAATGTTTTCTTTTTGATGATTTTTAAAAAAATTTTGTTTCATTTAAATGAATGAATAAATGAATTAAATTAAATAAAATGTTAAATGGCTTCAAACACCTGCTAAGTTCATGGCATAAACCAACAGACATGTTCCTGTTTTTAGTATTTTACATCACTTTATAATGTAGCTGTTTATGTTTTTAATATAATTTTCAAATCATATGTTTTTTATGATTGTTTACTGTTGTTTGATAAATATCTCCTGGAGGGTAAACTATATCTTGGCTGCAAGTATCAAGCTGTGAAATCCTTCGTTTTCTACAACTGATAGTGGTTGGTCATTAATTATGATGAAGTTCAGCAACTTCTCTGTAAACATTAGAGCTCCATGGTTTCAGCGACATCTACTTCTTGTTCAATCCGAAGCAGGCAGCCTGATTTGGGGCAGCCGCGCTCAGTCTGTCCCTCCTCGGAGACTGGCAGACTGAGCGGGGCAGATTGGACGCGGCTGGCCGGTGTCGAACCGCCTCTTTCGGTTTGACCAAAGAGCAGCGCCCCGCTGAAGCCACAAAGCTAGAATGTCCATCGTAAAACTAACTTTAACATGGTTTAATGTGGCGCTATGGCTCTGCAGACATTGCACGTTGCTGCATTGTTTTGTGTGTTTCTAGTGTAAAATACTTCCACACAGCGGACATGTTTAGATGAAAAGTTTGTTAGCTGTTAGCCACAGTGCTGCTAACTCAGTCCTCACATTATAGCTGGCTGCAAACTATGAACTGGATTTCCTGAATGTGAGACGGGTCTTATTACTCTGGGTTCATGAGACACGCCGCCATTCAGGAAATCCTTTCCATAGTTTGAAGCCAACATGCATCATGGATTGGAAATATCGGCAGGTGGATCAGAAAAATCCGATACGTAAATTATGCTGGTATCGGAGGCCGACACCGATACTAGATCGGATCGGCCCCACCCCTAATGTTCAGTCCATTTTGACATCTAAAGAACTAAAGACAGGGTCAGGTTTTATTTTCTAAATGTTCAAAACGTATAGAAAAACATCTGAGGCAGGCCAGGAATCATCCCAGTGAAGCTGTCAGAGCTCACAGAAACTCAAAAACCAAGACTCAGATGACTCAGAGCTTAAAACCTTGATGAGAAGTGAAACAGCATCATGGCATTATCCTCATCTTCAAATTAAAAGCATTTAGAAAGATATTCTGCTTCTGTAAGCAATTTATTTGAAGAAATTTACATTTGATGTTTTTAGGAATAAGAATGTTAAGAAACAAATATTTTCCATGTACTTTTCCTTTGTTCTATATAGACTTGGAAAATACTGAAAGTAAATTCAATACTATAAAATACTGTGTAGTAATATAATACTTTGTAGGAAACCTGTGGACGTGTCTTCAGAAAGTAAAGCAAACATATAAATGATGTCTGTCATGCAGTTTGGTAGAACAGTTAGAGATTTCAAAGCAAACATTTTCCTTTTCATCATTAAGTCTTAAATATTAAAGCTAGTTAAGACCTCACTGAATGTCAGTCAACCTAATATACCACAACTACCATCATACATTAAAATGTTAGCATGAAAATCAAATTTATACTAACACAAAGGAAGAATCTGAGATGTCAGTTTAATAAACTTTTAATAGTTTACTAAAAGAACCATCCTAATATAAAATGAGTTACACATTAATAAGATATTTTAATGGGTGAGTCAGTTAATTAACTACTTTTAGGTGCAGCAGGCTCTAAGCAGATTAAAAAAATCTAACTTCAAACAGGTCTCCTGTTAAAACTAAATGTTCTTAACAAAACAAGAAAAGAACACTTCAGCAAACTACTAACCTAACCCTACAATTCATTTCACCACATGCCAGCAGTCATAATGAGCTCCCATATTTGGGCCTACTTGGACACACTTAAACCAAAAGCAGCTTATTAATTTGGGCAGTCAATGCCTTTGAGATAATACTTTACATCCAGCGCTAGCTTGTGGTGGCAAGACCAATTTTCAAATCTCCTCTGTCCCTGGGCAGCTGGGCCCGGGAACTTGGCAGGAGGGGAAAGTGGTAAAAACAGAACAGCAAGATAATCTTATGCAACCTTAATTCTGGTATTAAATTTAGGTCTTTAAACGAAATGAACTAAATTACTACAACATCGCAATGCCCAGTCCTCAGGATGGTAAATGGGAGGAAGCTGATTTCTGGCTGGAGTTTTCTGGCAGACTGAGGACTGAATAATTAAGTCAGCTGAGGAACATTGTTACATTTTGGTCAGAGTGGAACAATAGTTTTACTATCTACAATTTACCAGGTTTTAAGGATTTGTGGAATCTCACTGATCAGTGGAAGTATAGAGGAACAACATTTGCTGCAACAATGTTGTAATTAATTGTGAATACAATTATTGTAGCGCGGTTTGTTTCTGAGGAGGTGCAAAAACATGGGGACTAAAAATGATGAGAACTAAAAGAGTAGAAACAAATTACATTTAAGAATAAGGATACTGAAAAAATAATAATACAGACCTCAACAGCAGATGAGTTGTCTACCAGGACGTTCATGATCGCAGTCTGAATGAGGTCAAATCCAGAGCCAGTTATCACAATGTTCCTCCCTCCACTAGATGCACACACAACAAACAATCATGAATGAGCCACACAAAGACAAGATGCAATCATTAAAGTTTTGTTTCCAGAAAACTGACCTTCAACTTTATTTAAAAATATTAATATGGAGTAAACTGCTCTGGAAATGACAAGAACTATGTTCAAGTACAATTTTTAACTACAGAAGTCCCTCGTTTATCATGGGGGATCCGTACCTTGAAGTCCAGCAATAAGTGAAAAAACGCTAAGTTTAAGTAGTAAGTAGCAGTTTATCCTGTTCTCAGTTAGTATTTGAATATATCTTTAACCATTTGAGCAGCATTTGAATAGAGCTAAATACAGTTCTAAGTGGCCTTAATGAGCATCAGAACATTTTCAATTTGGACCTTTAGAAATGGTCCATTTTATTCACATACGTTTAGTTGTCAGAATGCAATTCATCCTAATCTTAATATAACTAAAGTGCTATACCAGGGAAAATTATGTAGATACTTTTTTGCTTTGATTTATTGATTATAAGTTTAATAAACCGTACATCTGATTCTTTCTCAATAAAAATGTCTGTTTTAGGATTTGATCAATCAGAGTGGATTAGAGTGCTGCACAAAGAGTTTCTCTTTAGGATAAAGTTAGTTTTGATTGCTTTAGAGCTGGTTGGGCCCACTGTTGGTTATATGTGTACAGGACAACAGTCTGAGTAGAATTATGTTGCAATATATTCAACCTAGATTAACACAAAGCTGATGTTACATTCACAGTGAAGTTGAGTAAAACAGATGAAAGCTATTTTTACAAGTTAAAACTTTCAGTCTTTACCCTGACATGGAGCTCTATGAAGTCACTCATTGAATTCAATTATAATGAGGCTCATCAAGAAATAAATCTACAAATACATGGCTCAACCATAGTAATGTCAAAATATCAATATGGTTCAGATGTATGAATGCACTGGATTTTTCATTCAGAAACATCAGCAGACCGGCTGATACTGACAACCCACTGTGCGACATGGCTGCCTGTGCATCTGCATACCCAGTGGGTACCATAATTTACGGATTATTGAGCAAATTTACGGATTATTGAGCACACCTGAATACAAGCTGTGACCACTAAATTTAAAACTTTTAATTAAATATGTATAGTAACATACACAAATATGTACAATAAATGTTTTTTTTCTGAACAGTGCCTGTAACATGGCTGGTTAAAAAATAAAAATAAAAAAATACTGTAGCCGACCAGGAAAATGTCATTGATCGTTATGTTCATCTTCCTCCTGTGCACTAAATCCACTAAAGTCATCTTCTTCAGTGTCAGAATTGAACAACCTCTTGGACCTGGGGGGTATAGAGTGTGTATCGGGAATAAGAATGAAATGTATCGTTATTGTATGTCTTTGAGTGAATGAATGTGAGATTGAGGTTGGGATAGTGTGATTGTGTATGTGTATGAATGGGTATTTGTTAGGCCGAGACTCGGACTGCCCCCTCTTTGATACAACTGGGGGTGCTTGGCATCGCGCCCCTATCGCGCGGCCCCCTGGTGGGGTGTGCCCTTGCCTGCCGGCGCGCTTGGGGCCCTTGGTATCGGGGGCTGGGCGCTTGGGCGTGTGTCGGCTCGGCCTGGTGTCTGCCTGGTGGGGCTCGGGTCCTCTGGCCCTGTCGGGCCTTGGCCTGGGTGGTGTGAGTCCTCGGTGCCCGGGCCTCGGTGCCTGGACCTGGACCTACATCGGTGTGGCGGGTGCCGACGGAGGCCTATGAGTTTGTCGCTGTTGGCCCCGGGGGGTCACTGTATGTGGTTGCTGGTGGGGATCTTCCGGTTCTCCCCTGTGGTCCCTTCTGGGGGGTGGGTGGGTGGTTCGCCCTGTGTGGGTGGCTCTGGGGGCTCCGCGGTCGGGGTCCCTCCTGGGGTCTTGGGCTCTGGTCCCCACTTTTTCGTCTGCCTCTGGTCTTGGGGGTCGGGTCTCTGCTGCTTCACAATTACTAATAAATGTTCTATTAGAGAAGCCTTATACACTTATGCATGCTCACAACCACACACAAATAGAAGCAGGGATGTTTATGTAGGCTTTATATGTAGATATATAGATATGTATGTGAGTGTATATTCATGTGTATGTATGTATGTATGTATGTATATAGGCGTAGGTATGGGTATATATATTTATTGAAACTTACTGCAAAGCCATGAATATTTTAAGTTCTTTATACATATGTATTTTGTTGCTGTGTTTTGTCATGTTCTTTGCAGGTGAACAGACAGTGGCCGGGTGTTTTGACGTGTGCTCT